TTACAAAGGAGAGGTGGAAAGCTCTCACAAAGGATAAGCGAAAAACTCTCACCAAAAAAAAAAGTACCAAGAGTAAAGGTGACATAGCCTACTCATCAGAAAATCAGGAAATCCTACCTCTTGTCTGGCTAGCTAAAGTTCCAATTTACCCTTCACAAGTTCTCGAATCCATTTTCGTGCCTCTTGTCCAAGCTTCACTTTAGATCCAACTACTAAACAAGTTTGAACTTCAAATCCTGAAAGAGGAATCTTCACTATGCTTAACTAGGAACAATAAAACTCAACTCACCTTAACAAATATTGCACGTTTAAAAGCTTTGCTCCAAAAAGACGAAAATGCCCCTCAGACCATCCCAAGATCCAAAGCTATCAAATCTTATACAAAACAATCTAAAGTTGTGTCATACGCCTTATCAAAAACAAAACAATGTAAAAGATAGCCGTTGTCCAAAAAGTCACTACTTAGGTTCAATGAACTCTACATGAACCGACACTCCAAAAATTCACCTCAGCACAACTTCGGATTTCGAATCCTAAAGCATCGCTGGACTCTATACAATCCCGACAACAAACCACATTCGTTTGGGTCCAATCCAACGGTCGGTTATCCGTAGATCTAACAATAAAAAAGATATCACTTTATGTAAACCGAGAATCATAGATCCGGACTTGGGATTCTCGATTCTTCTGAACCTACACTCACAACAACACCAGCTTCAACATGCTAAAAGTGTGATATTTGCTTTCTTCCAAAATTTCCAACTTGAAACCCTAAAATGAAATGGTGTCACGGCTTCTAATATGTAGATCCACATTTGTGACACATGTGGTCCACATGTGTGCTGCATCTCAAACTTTGGGGCCTACTTTTGGCCTTCTTGGTCCTACACATTTTTACTTTAATTTGTCACATGTGTCTAAAATCTTACGGTTCAATTATTTATTCCTTAAGTCATGTGGGGTTGGCTTAAGTTGGAGGAGGAAGGATGGGGTTTGCTAGGTGGGTGGGTTGGATGATGGGCGGTGGACTTAACAGAGTTAAGTGCTAGCTGTTTTTTTTTTTTTGGTCCAAGAGTTAAGTGCTATTAAGTGGTTCGTCACCTATCAAAAAAACTAGGAAGGAAATAGGGTGGGCACAGGATATTTGGTAACAGAAAAATTGGACTCTTCCCACCCAGATGCACCCCTGCAGCTGCATCTTCATACCCAACCCACCCGTCTTCACACGGGTTGTTCTTTCAAATCCTCCTCTCACAAACAAACCCCATGGCTGTCATTGCAAGACCCATGGAAACCACTTAAGACAAACCCACGAATTCAATCTTCATGTGCATAATCCTCAACGTCCAAAACAGATAAGCACAATAATTCACTTGAATGAACAAAAAACTTCGTAACTTTTTAATTATTCCAAACCTGTGGTTCAAACCCAAGCAAAATCCCCAAACTTCAAAACTTCAGTGTTTTATTTCTTACATTGCACAACACTTAGATTTCTCCAAACACGTCCTATTAAAGTTGTAAGAAGATAAGTTAATTTAAATTTCCTTCTAATTATCATGGCAACAAAAAACCCATGGAAGGATTTTTATCTTAATCCTTGTACAGCTTCCTGTTTCCATGGCCTTCTAGTTGGCATCCATGGAAGCAATTGTCTGAATTTGTTGAATGGAGAGAATGAAAAGCTTCGAGCTTTGCTTTTTATTTATTTATTTATTTATTTATTTTAATAATTTCAGTCGATGGCAGCTATGGGGTTCTTGACTCTATGAGGCTAAGGATGAAGAAAGAATGAAAAATATTTTTTAAAAGAAATTTTTATTTTTATTTTTCCACACATTACTTTTATGTCATGTATGTCAGCAAAACATGGGTTCCACTCGTGCCACATCATCATTTTTAACATATTATTTGACGGAATTGATGATAAGGGCAAAGTGAGATGCAAAACATCGGCCAAGGGAGTAAAATGAGTCACTTTAAGTTCCTAGGACAATGTGAAATTTGACTTGTCAAATGAATGAACATGTCATTGTCATAGAAAGTTACATACAAGCCCAATACAAAAATAAATAAAAAACCAAAGGTTCAACCAAACAAAATAAAAGCCCAATCCAAAATACAAATAATTTAGGTCCAAAACAACAACAAAAAACCCCAAAACACAAAATCCCTAGAATCAAACCTTAGAAATACCAAGCAGTCACCGCCACCCGATCTGTTGCCGCCGCCGCCGCAAGAAGAAGGTCTGTGGGAACCGACAAAGGGGATATGTAGAGCGTGGCTTTGGAGGAGCAAGCCACCAACATGCATCAAGCTCAAATTGGTCAAAATTGACCATTAAACTACAGAGCCCACACCTCCATATCAAAATCTCATATTTGAGGATGGGTTGCAGGGGAGAAGCAGCTGCAACAAACCAGGAGACAACCATGAAAATCCTAGGGGAAGATGAGGAGTTTTGGGTTTAATTGCCTCATAGCGATGATTTAGCATTAGCGCAATTAAGCCTTGATTTTATGTAAAACCTTTTTGTTGTTGAGTTTAAATAATTCAAAATATATATGTTAGAGTCTTGATTGCTAAAACACAATCGAGAGTCCTTCTCCCCTTCTTCCATAAACCTCTTCTTCCTCTTCTTCCTATCATTCCCACAAGAACCCCTCTAATCGAGTGCAAATAACTTCTTTGATTCTAGAGGAACGCCCTAGAATCATATCTTTTCGGTTAATAAATTGGGAATCTCTTCCCTCTGTCATGTTGTGGAGAGTTTTCCCCCCTAGTTTTAGGCTGGGCTTTTGCTCCCTTGCCTCTTTGGCAAGCTTCTCTCCCCCTAGGTGTTTAAGGGTTGCTTCTCAACCTTTTGTTGGCCTGATTTTGGCTTGATCTTAGTATATCTCCACCTTTCCCCTCCTATTGTTTGTATTTTTGAAATTTAAGGGTTTGGTGGTTTCTCTTCTAAGATCTCTTTTATGTGGAGGTGGAGTTGATGAATCTAGTGGGATCTACTATCCTTCGGTGTTGTGGGATTATGAGGGGCGGTGGAGATATTGTGATTTTCTTTAAAATGTCAAGGTGAAATTTGAGTGGTAATACTCTTTCACTCTCTGGTGCTTCTAATCCCAAAGAAGTTTCAGAGGTGGTTATCCACATGATCTCTGTTCAACACTGGTTCCTAAGTTTTATGGATCCTATCATCTTCAACTTTGAGTGAGCTGAGATTTAGATACACGTGGTGACATAAGTCCCTCCCTACAACTCATCAATTAATAATTTTCACAAGAACAAGGTATACTCGACATAAATTATGAAGATAATGAAACCTTTCTCTTGCTTACTGTTCTTGCATTGGTTGTATTTTATTGTGTATATTTTCTGTTCTTGTTTTCAAGAACCCTCTTATGGGGCAGTGTTCTTTGTGTGTAATCTTGTAATTGCCTCTCATGTTAATGGATCTACTTTGTTCTAAAAAACATTAAATTTAAATAATAAAAAATTCAGAATATGGATGCTACTAAAAGTCGTCCGTACATATGATTCGTTTTTCTTTTCCCTTCTGACATCGTTTCTTATCAGCATATATTTCAATGAGGGAGACCGTTACAATGATGCAAGGAAAAAGAAGGGAATTCTTTGGTGCATCTTCTTCTCTTCATTAACGAGGAAATATGCATTTATAATATCATGTGTTGCAGTGTCAATAGATCCTTTTTTCTTTTACATTCCCGTCATTGATGAGAAGAACAAGGGCCTTGGAATAGACAAAAGGGTGAAGACTGCAGCTCTTTGGTTGCGAGTACTTCCTGATGCCGCTTTCGCACTGCATACTATACATTCTGCGTTTAGAATATGTAAAGAGGCGAAGAAGCGTTTTGAAAGACTTGTCGTCAGCTTTATGGGTATATTAATTGGCGCTTTCCTTATCCTTCCCATCCCACAGGTAAGATATTGAAATCTCAACTTTTGTTGCTTAAATAATGCAGACGTTTGAGTTCCTAAGTAAGCTTTTAATTAGGAGATAATTTACGACTATGTTGCCCTTTAAGGTAAATAATGGAAAAAATAAAAATAAAAGTCCTTGATTTAAGGCATTATTACTCTTAAATTTTGAGTTTGACTTTTGAACATTTATGGCTATAAAAAAAATTAAAAACATATACACCAAATTAAAAAATAATAATTTATAATACATGTGTAATCCACATAAGATGAAAGGGAAAGTTACAGGTCGTCGGTTTCGGGTGATGCCGTCGTGAGAGAGAGCAGTGACTACCTTGAAGCTGGAGCTTGCTGGCAAAGACAGATCTCGTGCTATCTGGAGGGCCATCAAAGAGGAAGAGAGAGAGAGAGAGAGAGAGAGAGAGAGAGTGAGAGTGCATGTGTGTCTAATGCTCTTTAGTTTCAAAAGATAGTCAATGGATCTAGCCCAGTGAAAAAGGGCTTGACTTGTAGACTAATGGCTTTAGATTCGAACCTCCATGGTAATGTGTACTATGTGTGTGCGAAAAACTCCCTCTTGTCTTGTTTAGACTATCGCTTGTATTAAAAAAAATCTCCATGCAAAAACCTTTTTTCCTAACTTATGATATGAATGTCAACTTCATATATATAAGATAATATAGAATATTAGATTAATTGTTTATGAAGGAAAATTTCCGAATCAAGCTGGTCACCAAATGGATTGGTTTGATTCGTTTGTGCTACTAGTTTGAGACCTAAATCATATCAGTCTAATTTGTGTCGCTACATTAATTTGGAACGTAGTTTGAGGTTTAAATGGAACCAAAGCAGACCACTTAGATGTTGTTTTACCTTTGTCTGCATAGCTGTACTTGAAATGTTTATCATATTCTTGAAAAATCCATCGAATTAGATAGCTAATAATGAGTCGTCCTACTCGTGTGTATTTCATTTTATATACACATGTGTGGCATTTAGTCAAGATTTATTTGCCCACTTCAATCCTCGTTCATATCCTTATTTGCCCACCAGCTATTACGATGACAGAAAAATCAGTCGAGGTTTATATTTAGGTCAACCTTGTCTTATGCACGTAGTTAGATTTTGCTTATTGACTCTGGTCTCTAACCAGCTTTTTTTTGGTTCAGTTGGCAATAGTAGTATTCTTTTTCAAGTCAGGAGGCTCCGGACATTTCGGCCAAAGAGTGACCACCGTGAACGTGTTCCTTGTTATGCATTATCTGACAAGGGTTTTCCTAATCTACAGATTCGGTAATTATCTCAAGTACAATACCGAAACATGGGTTCAAGCTCCATTCTATTTTTTCTTCTACGTCCTTGCTAGTCATGTAAGTTCTATCTTCATCATTATAATTCATAAATCACAATTTTATGTCTTATCTTTAGTTTTGTAACTACAAACTTGACTAAGGGCCCGTTCGTTTGGGACCATAATCACCTATAGGGAAAAACACATTCCACATGCTTCTCCATATAATCATTCCCAAACGAGCCATAAGTTTTCTTTTGTATTAAATAAATAGCTAGGTTAAATTTAACCAAAACTTGACAAACCTATTTGAAGATGATCTAATCATGAATAAACATTTTGTGGTTAGGTACTTGGAGGTTTTTGGTATTTCTTTTCTATTCAACGAGAGATATCATGCTGGCACCAATCCTGTAAAAATGCTATAAGTTGTGGTGCTACTGATTATTGCAGTGGTAGTACTTCACGAAATATCATCTTCCTAAATGAGTTAGGCCCGTCAAATCCACCAAATGCTAACGTATTTAATTTTGGAATATTTCTTGATGCCATTCAATATGGAACCACAAGATCAATGCATTTTCCAACCAAGTTCTTTTACTGCATATGGTGGGGCGTCAGAAATCTAAGGTACGCATATATGTATGTTAAGCTCTTGATAGTCTAGACGAAATTCATATACTTTTCCACTTCTAACTAAAACAGAACTTTTAAAATGGATGCCTCGTAGGATAAAAGTGGTTTAGGTATTATCATTTATTTACAAAACTATATGTCATTTTGGTTACAAGCATTTTTTTTTTTCTCAAATAATCCCTAATTCCTAGCATTTCAAAAATCCAGAATTTATTGAACATTATTTATTTTCGAAATCCCTAAAATTTCTCTAGTAAGAAAAGAGAGTTGAGAAAATTGCGTAGTTTTCTTCTCATTGGCACCTTTATTTTCCTATTTGTGATTACATGGATAGCGCACAAGAGACACTTTTTCTGAAGGACAGCTTGTTGAGTCCACTACAAATTTTATTTTAACAATCCAAATTATCTATTTTTCATGTCTTGATTCATAAATCATCCTTAACAAATACGGTACTTCAAGAAAACATTAAAATGACAACCATTTTATTGAGTGGTAAAATAGATTCTGATTCAAGTAATTTTTTTTTTGGAAGGATGATCTTTGAAGAAATACCAAAAAAAAAAAAAAAGGCTTTGAATCATGTAGATACAATATGAAATGGGTCTCACAAGAGTGCCGGCCCTTCTTTGAGGAATTTGTTAATTAAAACTCTCTATATATCCTAAATATTTCATATCAAAACATATTCTATATATATATTAAATACTTAATTGGTTGTTGCAGTAACTTTGGTACGAATTTGCAAACAAGTAGCTATGTGTGGGAAAACTGCTTCGCAATTATCGTTTCTTTCATTGGCCTGCTATTATTTTTATATCTCCTTGGAAACCTACAGGTACGCTGGTGTTGAATCATGATAAATAAATTAAAAATAATCGTGATGAATATCTTCTTCTTTTTTGTTGAAAAGACTGAAATATTTCATTAGAAATCATGATGAATCTCTTGATATTAGTAAATTTTTTAAATTATTATTCAGTTATTTGGTCACTGACTTGTGAAATGTTAACCATCTTAATATTTTCCTTCATTATTTTATTTATATAAAAAATTGAAATATTAATTAGTTAGTTTAAAATTAATAAATATACATAAACTTATGTTAAATTTTAATAATAAAATAAGTTTATTTACTAGAAAAAAAAAAAAAAAAAAAAAAAAAAAAAACCCCCAAAACAAAAACCAAACAACCCCACACACAACATCTCACCGCCCTCACTCCCACCACAACCCAACCCAACCCTTCCCCATCGCCAACTGCCACCCCCAACCCGTGGCCACCATTTCCTCCACATATCGTCACCTTGATTTATCCTCCTCCATGTCCAAATCTGATCGCACACCCCACAACTTTGTAAACAGTCCCACCCCACCTGCCACCTTCGCCCCTAGCCATACCCGCCACCACAAATCCACACTCAACTCCACCAATCCGATCTGCTTCCAGCCACAGCTATCCGAATAAAGTAAACAGAAAACCCACACCCAGTCACTACTTGAAATCTATAGACACCAAAACCAAAATCATGAACACCGAGAAAAATAAAGGGAGATTCACTATTATACCCAATATAGGGCCCGAATTATAAAAAAAAAATCTTATATGAAATGGACTTTAGAAACACACCCAAATACTATTTACATCATAACAAAGATAATTTTAATTTCATATAAATTATAAAGGGAGCTGATTTTCCCACTCTCCTTTTCTCCACTTACATTCCCTTTTGCTTTTTAATAATTTTTAATACTTTTTTGTTCTTTCTCTTTCCAATTCTACCCTTACATTAAGATTTTGATAACTGAAATTAAGAAAAGTTAACATAAAATAAAACAAAACACAAAAATAAATTTTGAAAATGGATATAAATGTAAATATTTCTTCACCAAATTCTTTGTTTTTTTTTTAAAAAATTTATCTTTGTTGTAGTTAATAGATAATAATTTTTGTGGGGTAACATGTTTACAAGTAGAAGAACCAAAGAATGCTACTAACCAAACTGTCATTAGGAGCTTAGATATGTAGAGCGCAAGGTATGCATAATATTCTATAATTTTTATTCTTTCATAATATTAGTAAGTGATTGTACATGTCTTCTTATTAAAAGGAATTGTAGAACAAAGGTAGAATAAGATAGAGAAAGAACAAAAAAGAACAAAAAAAATTAAAAAGTATTAAAAAGCAAAAGGGAGTGTAAGTGGAGAAAATGAGAGTGGGAAAATCATCTCCCATTATAAAACTGTCATCGATTTCTTAAAAAAACTCAACCCAAAACCTCACTAGTAAAAAAAGTGGCAACAGTCACCATTATTTGGTAACATTTGTGGCCGTGACAAAAGGTATTAGTCACATTTTTTTTTTTTTTTTGGTGACTAAAAAGGCTTTTAGTCACATTTTTTGCTTTTTTTGGTGACTAAAGCCTTTAGTCACCCCCCACAATAGTCACCAAATGTCACCAAATAATGGTGACTGTTACCACTTTTTGTTTTTGTTTTTTGTATTTTTGGTAGTACTCATTAAAAAACCAAAAATACTCAATAGGGTATCAAAGTAATTTAATAATTAAAATTAAATTAAATAAGGTCATTTGTCATTTTTTGAGGTTTTTTATAGAAATTAAATGGTGTAGAGTTTATCTATATCATTAGTGCTAAGAATAAGTATATGACTAAAGAGCTAAAAAATAAATCCATACATAAACAACAGAGACAGTAAAATTATGGGAGGAGGGGAAAATGTGGTATTTTTTGGATGGGGTTTGGTAGTTAGGGTGATGATGACCACAGTCTTAAATATTGAAATTATTGGCGATATTTTGCCGATAATTTCGTTTTTTTGAATGAGCGATATTTTAGGCCATATCCACTTAATTATCGTCAATATATCAATATTTTCGTCGATATTTTCGCGATAATTTCGTACTCGTTCTTGCTTTATTTGGGCAATATATCGCGATATTATCAATAATATCGCGATTGAAACTGAAAAATAATGAAATTGTTGAGAAATGGCGCGATATTATCAAGCATTTTATTATCGATATTATCAGTACCATCAGCACCCCAAAATCATAGAAAATATGAAATATCATATCAAATCTACAAGCTCTTTACCCAGATCTACAAGCTCTTTACCCAGATCTACAAGAACTTAACCCAGATCTACAAGCTCTTTACCCAGATCTACAAGCTCTTTACCCAGATCTACAAGCTCTTTACCCAGATCTACAAGCTCTTTACCCAGATCTACAAGCTCTTTACCCAGATCTACAAGAACTTAACCCATATCTCCAAGAACTTCACCCAGATCTACAAGATGAACACATATGTACAGAGAAACAAAACATGAAGAGAAAAAAAAATGAAGAAGAGAGAAATAGAAAAAGAGAGTTGCAAAGAAAGAGATATAGAGGGAGAGAGAGAAACATAAAACCAAGAAAAAAAAGCAAAAGGAGAAAAAGCAAAAGGAGAGAGAAAAATTTTAAAAGAAGCAAAAATGGACAAAAATGCCCTTATTTATTTTTAGATTTCCTAAGGAATCTAATACATTTGCATGTCTTTGATTTGAAAGTTAAGTGGTTTTTTTGTCTTTTTTTAAAAAGCTTTGGCTTTTTCCAAAAGTGAAA